ATAACTACACAACTGGAAAACGGATTAGTTGGGCTTTTAATCTACATAGAAATAAGCGCCATACACAAATGCAAAGAACTCCTAGCCGAGCTTTGTACACACAGAATTACAATGCACAGAATTATTTCTTCAGAATTTCTTTGAAATCTACTTACAAAGGAACTGAGGAAAAAAAAAAACCACCCAACAGATTTGTAGTTGTAAAACAATCTATTATGTTAGATCTCAACGAAGTTGAGAATGATGTTTACAGGAGTGCACCACTGTCTGTCTACACCCCAAACGATAAAGACTGAGATATAAGGAAACTTAAATCAAATTAAAAATGAGACCATGCCAAACGGTTGCAGGAAAAAAGCGTGACTGTCATGAATCTAGTCTTCCCGATGTATATTTTAGCAGTAATTGAACATGTCTACGCCTCGTGTTGGAATAAATAAAAATTTACTTTTCTCTGCAGAATGAATCAAAATTTTGTTAGGATTCCTTCAACCAGCAGAAAATCTGTACTGTAAGATGTGGAAATTTTTTTAAAAATTTAACTTCAGTGGTCTCTCAGAATATATACCAAATAAAATTATTTATTATGTAACAAGCAACTAACAGCTTAATGAAGAAAATTGTACATTCTTATGACAGTAAAGTTTTGGTACTGTCATATGTGCTTAAAAAAAGATGAATGAAGAAGAATACAAAATGTTTAAATTCAACAAAAAAGTAATACAAATTTGATACAAAAGAACCGTTTTTTTAAAATTATATTTTAGAAATAGAAAGCTAAAAACGAAAAACAATTTAAAATTACAAAAATAAAACAGTGAGAGCAAATCTTGCAAAATGTGTCTCCGAAGGTACGGCTTCTTTCCAGTCTCCCATTATTTTACCGATTGCTCCTGATGTCATTATTTTTAAATTAAGAGTTATACTTCATATATGTTTCTTTCGCTCACCTTCATTTTCTCTAACACAAAATTTAATTTCATTATAGGCAAAGCCTTCCCTACTCGTGTCAAACCTTGACAAGAACTCGCATTTCTCAAAGCTACATACATAAACAACTCGCTTCATGCTCCTCGCGACTTTTGTTAGCGAAACTGACAATAGACTTTTTTAAACACACTGTTATCACTTCCATCATTCTTCACTTCAAGGAGTTATAAAATTGCTTCATTAATGGAAACAAAATGTAGATCCTGGATACAGATGGTATAGTTTAAACATTTTTGGTATCTTCAAGTTCCAAAATTAAATACCAATCCACGAAAAAAACTGATTAATATTTTAAAATAATTTTTAATGCACACGGTACCAAAAATATGTACAAATCACCTTTAGTTTAACCAACCAATTTTTTCATTGCAGGCCATTTATTTACATTGAAATGCTGCTTAATTATTTCAATACTAACTAAATATTAGGTCTAAACAAATTTTATTTTTTTAATAAAACTTTTCACTCTGCATTTTAACAATGTATTATTATTAACATATACCTCAAAAAACACCTCCAGAACGAAACAACACACGCAGGTAAACACAGCTTGTAAGCAATTAGTATCTAAGAAAATCTCAATTGTGATTTATCCCCGTTTATGCCAATTTGTATTTCTAAATAAATAATGAGATATTGAGTATGATCTATTTCTAAATAGATAATAAGATCTGTGATACACTACTCATCATATTGTGTAGAACGAAAGTAGGAAATCTGGAACTCGAGAAGATATGCATCTGCATATATCATATCTAACTCGTCAAAGAATCAAAATAGTATACGTGACTCAGATATCATTATTAGTCAATGCTAAAAACCACTTTAGAGAGGTTCAAACACCTTTGTAAACCACGAACTACCTAAAAAAAATCAGAGTTTCAAAACAATCCAGGAAACACATTGTTTTCTACAAACTGTAATAGTAATTTTAATAATGTTGCACCAAATTACATCTAGTATTGATTATTAGGTTTGTGTGAGTGTGTGTGTTTTTGACACCAGATATACTCCCCTTTTCACTAAAAAAAAAAGAAGCCAAAGAAAGGAAGTTTCATTTGTTTTCCCGCTTTAAGCAATATATATGATTCAAGGAGGTAGTAGATTTCAATCATCACCTTCTGAAGTAAACAAATTTCAAAAAGCCAAATAATCACTGAATTCTTTATCACCCTTTAGAGCAGTCATCTTCCCAACACAGCACTGTAAGTACTATATTAAGGGGGCAAGGTCAATGTAAATGTATGAGAGGGTAAATGGCCAAATTGTAAAAGAATGTTACAGACAGATCCATACTGCCATGGACAATTGCATCTCACGAGAGCTAATTCCACAGAAGCTTTTCAAGGGTTCTAAAGGATACTGCATGAAAAATAGGGTACTAATGTCAAGGGTATATTCAGAAGAAAGGCACAAAGTGCCGGTCATATTTGATAGGTGGTTCCTACCAATTTGCTGTGACTATCCTGTTACAGGTTATTTCTTTAGTTAAAAAGGAATTAGCATCTGTTTTATAAAGATACTACAAGGCATTACTCAAGAATTTCCTCAACTAATTTAGAACACACACATACAACATCTTTGATTGCAAAGATCTTTATTTACCCTTAATATGTAACATGACATAAGATTTGTTTGTATCTTTCCTAAAAGATACAAACAAATCTTATAGTACAGCTTTCCTAAAAGATACAAACAAATCTAATGTCATGTTACATATTAAGGGTAAATAAAGATCTTTGCAATCAAAGATGTCAGGGCTTCATCAGAGGGGCTTGTTCTTGATTGGTTCCAAAGAAGACTGGAAAATTTTACAATCTAGCAAGACACTGTAGCCAAATTAGTTATGGTATTAAATCAATATGTTTTTAAAGAATTATTGAATAGGTCATAGTAAAATTCAAATTATTCCATACTTTATCCAAAAGTTATAAGAATTTTAAATTTGGATTTGTAAGTTTTGGAATAAACGGTGGGAAAAGTTACAATTAGGTAAAACTAATCACCAAATTATCTAAGAACATTCGGGATTATGGGATTTGGTTACAGTTTGATTCAAAACATTAGTACAATTTAGTTTTCTCAAGTTTTGAATATTTAATTCCATTGTCACTGCTATTACTAAAACAATCATACTTCAAATACTAAACTTAAGACTCCACATGAACTCAAATCTTAAACAAGTTATTCACACAAAGATAATTATTGTACTACATTGTAATACACAAACACAAGGCAATTGAAAGAATTGATAATATAAAACAAAAAATATTTTTACAATAATTGTGACTGAATAGCATGTTTAAGGTATTTAATGATCAATAGATAAGAAAAATTAATATGTTATATAGATTCACTTATTTATTGCAATATTTCCTGAATGCTGGTAATTTTTGTTCTATGCTTAATAAATTAATAATTTGACCAGAAGTGAAGACAAGAGGGCCTACAACTTGAGATCCTTTTGCACAACTTCACCACAATTTTCTACTTAATTTTCCAAGAATAATGAAATTTTAAAAAATTATTAAATCTTAACATTCCCCGCGTATTATTTTTATTCATTATAATAATTATACATCAGAATCATCTTCATTAACACATATTTGGGTAGGATTTGGTATTTTCTGCAGTGAAACAAACTTTGATGACCTTTACAAATGGTATAAGGAAGATTTTGTGAAAACCAATATTTGATTCAATTCTGACACCCACAAAGCCTGTGCTTCTATATATAGTTGAATTTTTGAAAATTGTAGATTTGGTACATTTCAGAAACAAGCCCCTCACACAATCCCTACAACGACATTAGCATATCCTAATACCCTAAGTAAAAATTGCTGTATGGAATAGCAATACGTTAATTACAGAGATGGTTTATTCACAATAGTTTAATAAGCTCCATATCTAATGTGTCCACTCATCAATCTTTCAGGTGTATGAGGGATGTAACAGCAGCCAGACTGAAAGGAATAGAAATTGCTCCCTTCCTCCTGAGTGTGAAATTTGGAATTGTACACAAACAACAGCTTATTGTATGGAGTGAAAAATAGTGGGTGGAAAAAAAAAATTGTTTTTTTCTGTTTTTTCTTGGTTGAACAAGAGTTGTTTAAAAGCACAGAACAAAAGTAGTCACAGCCTTTCTTAGAACACTCACTTTGCTCCAATAAAGAAAAAAGATTGTTACAAAGGCTTATGTATCCAGTGATCTTTGGCAAATAGTAAACTAAACTAAGGTTATTCAACCTTCGTGCAAAAAAACAATTGTACAATGAACTTTAGATCAAATGAAGTTTTCTTATGTAGGATTAGGAAAAGAAAAGAGAAAAAAAAAAAAAAAAAAAGTCAATATTAAATTTGCAGAATTTCTAGAGGTTTTCTTATCAAGACCACTCTCAGATAAAAAGACTTCAAAAACATATCTACTTTCACCATCACTTCCACTTTTATAAGCAAATTCAAAGCCAATAAGTGGCACACCTGTAAGTATGCAACACCTTCGGTTGTGACCATGGACTTAGTACCTTTCGCAAACTATGTTTAGATTTACTTTGTTTCACCTATATTATAATACTGATCAGCCAAAAAGAAAACATTAAATATTTATTTCTTCGTTTTTCTATTTTATGTTACATCTTAAACAAACATTTGAAATTAATTAATGGAGTTTTTCATAATATTTTTTTTATATACAACACATAGTACCTTACTACTGACAGGTCTCCAATTATTCAAACCAAAAGAAGTCTCTTGAGACTTAAAACTATCTAAATCTGTGTGTGCAAGCGAGCATGCACGTGCAGGTGTGTACAAGATTATTTTCCCTTCCAAAAGTGTACGGTAATAAGTTAATAATGTGAATTTATGCAAATTAATTACCAAGAGACTGGCAAGTTATTTATCACTCAAAGAATTATGTTCACAATGGTAAGAAGGAAAAGAAAGAAAAAAAAGAAAAAAAAAATGTTACAGCTATCAAAGCAAAGAAAATATTCTGGAAGAATTCTTACCTATTGCTAAAAATATCTCATTGACATTCATTGCAGTCTTAGCTGAAGTTTCCATAAACAGAAGTCCATTTTCTTCAGCATATGCTTGCGCCTCATCATATTCAACAACACGTTTGTTGGCTAAATCTGCCTTGTTGCCAGCAAGTGCAATAACAATGTTTGGGGAAGCTTGCCTTTGTAACTCTTTCACCCACGTTTTAGCACGTCCAAATGTGTCCTACAAAGAGCAGTAAAGAAGTATAAAGGAACTACTAACTTTTATGAGTGTTCAAATATAAAAATGCACAAAACTACTTACTTGATTGGTAATATCATATACAACAATTGCAGCCTGAGCTCCACGATAATACATTGGTGCCAGACTGTGGTATCTCTCTTGTCCGGCTGTATCCCAAATTTCAAATTTGACTGTAGTATCTTCTAAGCAAACTGTCTGTGTCAGAAAGGCAGCTAAAAAGAAAAAAATTCTGTATTATCTAAAAGCACAGTCTCCAAACTTAAATTTACATCTTTAAGAGCAATTTAAAGTAAAAAGTTACACAGACAACAAACATTTTAAGTCTGAAATGGAGGAAAAAAAATAAAAAATTATGCTTTCTTTTTTGCAATCAGCTTTTGTCCAAACACTTAAAAGGAACAGGTGTTTCAGAAATAATCAGGAACAAATAGTTTAACAGAAATTAGTTATCACATTTTCACAATAACTTACATAGCCTGTACATATTGAATCTGAAATCCCTTGGCTTTTTTAAGTCAAGCAAGAAAAGGAATGCCTACATGAATGAAGAAACAAACATTTGCATTAAAGGTTTTTAAAATCAAATTTCATGTTTTTATCAGCAAAATTAAATTTAAAAAATACTATAACTTCAAACAAACATAATAATCAACTATAAATTGAACAAATTCAACAAGGTTTACTGTACGAAATATTGGCATAAGGAGTCACCCCTTCTACATTCTCCCCCCCTCCACTTCTTTAGGGTGTTTTCTACTTAAACCAAAACTTAAAGAATTTTTAAAAAATGTGAATCAGTAAAGTTTCCTAATTTTCAAAAATCACATTGCCATCTTCCCAACTTGAAAAACTATTCTGACCTCATCTATGAGTAGCAGTAGGGTTTCTTCAATCTTGACAGCCAACGAATATCATAATTACACAAAATTACTCTCAGCACAAAAACTTCCCTATTTCATAATTTTATTCCTCAAAATTCTTTGGAATTTCACCTTTTGCCATTAATTAAAACAGGAAATCCTTTCCCGAATTGCTTCTGTCAAAATTCTAATCCAAAACTAAGCAACTTTTCACTTCAATGCAAGTATGAACATGTACATTATAAATGCCCTAAATGATTGATTCTGTTTATCTCCTGAAGATTAATTTCTCTCTTGAAGAAAGAAAGCAATTCATGCAATAAAATTAATGAATAGAATTCATTAACTAACTTCATGTAAGCATAGATATTTGAAAGTAATTCTTCCAAAATATTGTAATATTATCATTGGTCCATAAAACTACTTTTATTTGTAAGTACTACTTATTGTCTTATAAATAGCAGTGAATTTTAATAAGTTCAAAAATTATTTAATTGTCTTCAATTTATTCAATTACAATTAAAATATCTAATCAAAAGCAGTTTCAGCTTCAAATGAACCAAAAATGTGCACCTGATTCAATTAATCACAATTCACTAAATTAACTAATGCACATTTATGAACAGAAGAAATACACAATCTAATAGCTCTTTATTAAAAAAAAATTACTTTGCTCAATATAAGAATTAAATGAAAACGAATTTTTAAACATTCATATTTTGATATGAAAATTGTAATGAATATGCAAAAATTATTTAATAATAATTTAGTTGAGCTACCTTGCTTGTTTAAATAATTTATTTTTTAAATAAAATATTGCCTAAAGAATTCTTATCACTTCAAATTTTGCATTCTTAAGAAAATATAACACAGCAAAATTGTAACAGCTCTAGTAATAACACCAAGATGTCACTACTACAGCACATGTACACAAAATTACATTAATCACCAAAGCTAGCCCACGACCAACAACTGTAAAAATTATTTTATTTTCAGTTCCACTAGATATGGATGCTCCTTGGTAAGGTCTCTTTCAAATTAATGTAAATTAAAGTTCCTATCTGCATTTGTATTCATTCAAAAAATTTAATCCAATTCTTAATGAAGCCCTGACAGTTTTCACCACTAACTGAATATGTAGCCCATTCAGTTAATAGTGCTCTCGTTCACAGCAAAATTCAGAAGAAAAACTAAGTTCAAACAAATTAAAGAACAAATATGTTTGCAATTCTGACAATATTGAATTTTCATAAGTTAGTATATTACTAAACACTTAATGCAAATGAATCTGATCAAAACCATGCCAGAACCTACACACTGTAACGTATGGTGATGATTATTATTTGTGATACATTAGGATGAGCATTTATTTGATAGTCAATGGGAGAAATAAAATTAAAATATCCAACTTCATAAACAAATAGCTAGCAAAAAAAAACAGTTAAACAAAAACTATTGTGAAACTACACAAAGAGAAACAACTATTACAGCATTTAACTAGTATTTAATGTTTAAGATTTGAAAGATCCATAAATCTTTGTGACAAAGAGCTACCTTTCTCCAAAATTTGAAAACTATAAGGCAAGAATTGCACTGCATTGCAAATAGTATCATAACTACACTAAAATTTCCAACTATTGAGATTTAACAAATGGCTTTAGCAAATTTACTCTTCACATGCACTCTATTTTAACTACACTATTATTAAGATTTAGTGATGTCTTACCTCCAATAGTACTTTCTTGATATTCATGAAACTGTCCTTTCACAAACCTCAACACTAAACTTGACTTTCCAACAGCCGATTCTCCTAACAATACAAGTTTAAATTGACAAATTTTTCCTGGTCCTCCATTTGGTCTCTGGGCCCCTCCGCGATTGGCCATGGCAGGGTCCTACAAAGCAAACTGTCCACAGAAAAGATAAATAGTCGATATTTACGTATTATCTTTCAGTCACACATGTTTTCATTAATATCAAGTTGCTTGACTTTGTACAAACTGTACATTACAAGTACTGAGCGCTAAAATACTGCAAGTCGAGAAACTTGCAGCGAACAATCAGCTGACTCTTATTCAGGTTAGCCATACCACCCATGAAGCGTATTTTTCTGACAGATGAGAGCTCTACGCACTACATCACCCTTAACAACCGGGTGGAAATAAAACGAGATAGCCCACCTCTCGCCAATAGATACCACTCCACAAGACGCTTAATGCTAGTTTTCGTCGTGACACATAAAGAACTATTAAATCATTTTACTGTTAATTTGCGACTAACCTACCTTCAGTACAAATGGAATGTGGTAGAATACACGACCGATTGACAACACAAAGCTAACCACAGATGCGTGAATACTATTGCACACTAATAATTATATCCACCGAACAAACTGGAACGTTTCCCAAAGAAGATATTAAATGCACGGATAAGTTAAAAGGGTAGTTAAAACTCCAATGACCTACACAGAACTTCACGCGCAGCGCACCACCCTCGGCAACAGCCACATCACAACCCAAGGCCCAAAGTATTCCTGCACCCTATCTCTCACTTATTACACACAATATCATATCTCTCAAGCTATTATATTACATCCAACAAAAATGTTCACGCGAAGAAAACATTTAAATATTACATTACTTACCGAGATCAATACAGAACAACAAACTTTCAATAGGGGAACTACTTTACTAAGTCACCAACCGGAAATTCATTCTTGCTTCACCGTTGACCATGTTTTCATGAGAGAATACCCCGTTCCTTACGTCATGAGTTTTCCACCGCCATGATATTTTGATTTAAAGTGGAGAGAAGTGGTCATTTTCAAATTGAGTATTTGGTCATTATAGTTAATGACATGTGTGGTCGTCTTATTCTTGGAATAGCTCTACTTTGACTAGCAGTCTTAACTGTTTAGAAACATTTTTATTTGTTCAGTGAAACTTCCTTATTCCCATGAACTGACTCACTTGCTTTAATTTTTCGACTAAATTATTGACGCATTGAATGAAAATGTTTCCTGAAAGAACCCTGACAGAGCTTCCAAATCTCTGGAATATTATTTTAAAATCAGAAGCACGTTAAAGCAACATGTGAGTAAATTTATTATCACTGCAATCATTGTGAAATCAGACCATGAAGTCCTTTCTTTGTATTGCATCCGGAAAAACAATATTTCTATAAGTTGAATAAAGAAAATTAGATTTTTATTAGGCCTTTCAGTTACACTCTCAAGAAAATGAAAATTGATATTTTAAAATACTACCTAGTTAATTAATTACTCTCTTAATAACTACGTTATCATTGAGATATGCAGTCGTAGTCCAATATCAATTGACTGGCCTAATGGTTTGAATCGTGATATGAGCTTGTAAAGAAATATAAATGAATGGCGACTGGAAATTAAAAAGATTCGACATTTTTTTATTTACAAACATTGTCATTGAAAATTAAAATAAATATGTTCGAAAATCATATTTTAAAAATTAACACTTCCAACTAAAAGTACAACTTTGCTTTTCTTTGCAAAGCATTTACTTCTTAACACAAGATTAAGGACATTTTAAAATTTTAAATAAAAAAGAGTTTTATATTAGGATTTTTTACATTTTTATTATTGTAATTAAAGCAGTAATGAAATGTAATAAGTATAACAAGAACGTAAAACTAATAAGAAAAAGTATGGGGAATATCATTTCCCTAGTGGACAAGGAAAATACTGTGTACTAAATCCAAAGAAAGTATTTAAAATGCTTACTATTCCACCAAACAATGTGTCCTCAATTTAAAGCGTGGCACCTATTCGAGACCGTGCTTAAACATAAAGTTATTCATGCCCTCTGATCTTTGGTTTTAAATACATTAAGCTTATTTTAGAACTAGAGATTTTTTGAAAAGTATTATTAGGCAATTCATAAATATAAAAAATTACACTGCTTTAAACATTCAGTTTTATTTTGCATCAAGTTTTTGTTACTTCAAAAATTGCAGTTGCACATTTTTCGTTTTAGAAACACACGCACGCACACATGCGCGCGCGCACGCGCACACACATGTCCGTGTATATATGTATGTGTGTGTGTATATATATATATATATATATATATATATATATATATATATATATATATATATATATATATATAAACATGGGCACTGGAAAAACAGGCTTGGAATAGAAAATACACATGGACACCTTATTAAAAAAAATCGCTCTCTTCTAATACATAAACAATTTTTTCTCCTTGCTACGCATATGCCTTGCAGAGGTTAATTTCAATTCGATGTAAATATTTTGTTTTTTAATGCAAGCACCCCACCCCACTCCACGATTCTGGTCGCTCCTTAGAGGCGAGATTTCGGATCTTTTATTACAGGCGAAAGGGTTCAGCTGCATAAGGTGGTAAAAAGTTCCTCTAAAGCAAATGGCATACGAGAAGTTACAATGTACTTCTAACATAAACGTAATATTTTTGAAAGTTTTTTTTGTCCCCGTCCCACCGCCCACACCTCTCTGCGGAATGAAACGGGTTTTTTATTTTATTTTTTTCGCCAACTTAACACTATTTACCTTATTGAAAAAATATAAAATAATTTATACTATCAGATAAACATTTTTTGATATTTTCTCAGATTCAAAGGCAGTTTTTTTTTGATAAATAATTTTAACTGTCTTAGAACCCTGGCATAGGCTTGAAAGAAATCTCGAACGTTGTTCTCAAAACACAAAACGTGAATTTTTTTCAGATTTTCTATCGCTGAGTTGTTGTTACAAAAATAAAAATAATTTTTAAATCATAAAAACTTTGAAAATAACTACAACAGTTTTGTGAATTCAATTCAATACGTTTGTAATGAAAACTGATCTGTTGTCGAAAAAAAAACAAAGAATGAAACATATTAGATAATTATACCGACATTATGATTCGCTTTTATAATAACAGAAAAGTGAAATTAATTTAATAACATTTAATAAAATAGAAAATATTCAGTGGAGAAAACAGGTTCGCTTTTTTTCTCTGTGTACACTTGGCATTAAACAAATATAATTTATTAGTTACAATATGTCTTACAATATAATGTGAAACATACTTACGAAATATAACATAATATAGTTTTACTCAACGTCATCCGTATATTTTCACTTTTCCACTTTTTACAAATTGTATACGCGCTGTTTTTGCTTTCTAACACACAGTATGTTCACACTAGAACTACCGGATCACAGACAAGGTACTAGTAGTCACTCAGCGCGTTTTTGAATACGTTTTTGAAGCGGTGACAAATTCCTTGTTCTGAAGATCCGTTAAAGAAAATAGTATTACACGGAGAACGGCCTAAAGTTTTCCGTTTGCCGTCTACTCTTCCATAAATTATACGTAATTCTGGAAAAAATCATTTTTATCGCGGACTTACAAAACGTTGTTTCGTGAGAAACACCTATTTTTCGATATTAGAAATATTAAAACCGCGAGGAAATTTGTAAGAATTTATTTAATCATAATATACGTATGTTCAGTGCAATTTTAAACAATATGGTACATTTACAATAAAATATGCTTTCCGACAATTACATTCAATTTGGGGTATGGCAGGTATGGATGGTGCGAATAGTTAGTATTTAGTACAGCCCCCATTTAGTACGCTTCCTTGCTAATGTTCACAAAAAAGCACATAAAGCTCCGTATTCCGTAAGAGGCCCTTCAGCGTTTTTCACTAATAAGATCATTTTCAATTAGTTCCGGAAATTCTGTCCCAAAATCCACAACTACATTTCATTCTTCACGGAATTTGCTTTTCATTCCCATGTTTTTGTCCCCTAATTTTCGAAAAGAATACAACTCAACAAACACAATATAATTTGTAGTAACATTTACTTCTGCAATTTCTCTATTAATCCTTTTATATATTAACATTAAAAGGCAACATTTTTGTATGTTTACATGAATAAGGTGTTAAGTTTAAACGTTTTTAGACACATTCATTTAAAAATTGGTATATGCCCGCATAAGAACGTAACTGCGAAAAGTCGGTCGTAATAAGTCAACTGTGCTTTCATTTTGTTGCATTACTCACAGTTTGGTTTTCTCCGTATTCACTTGAAGTTCTTCAAATTTAATAAGTTTGACACAACAAATCACGTGTTTGGGAATTTCTTAGAATCATCTGTAAGGATCCGAAAACAAATTAAAATAATAAATAATATTCGGTCCATAAATTACGCGAGGCGATTTTTGCGATTCTTCAACTCTTCTTCCCCCCTTGGTGAGATATCGTGAGATTTGGCTTGACTCCCTCCACCCTTCTAATTTTACATAAGATTTTTCAAATTGCTTATTTTTAATGTAAATGCGTTAATTTGTGATTGATTGTGTTGGGATTTATTTAAAAAATCATAATTTGCATAATTATATTTATTTAAGACTAGAATGATAAATATTTACAAAACAGAATGATTGAATGCACATCTAAAAACAGAAAATATAGAATGTACATCTAAAAATAGTGCAATAATTCATTATCGGTGATTTCTTTAACATTTTTGTAAAAATGCAGTTAATGAGATTTATCTCAATAATAAAAAAAATTGGTAATTTTTGTTAGATTCGTTTTCTCAGTATACTGTGACATACCCAAATGTCACACGGGTGTAACGGGAATGACATCAAGCATACATGTCCGACAGAATTTTGAGGCATCGAGAATGTTACAATTCAGGGAATACGCGCAGCATAGCAACGAACTAATAAACATAGGCATGCCGTGCTGGATGCAAGAAACGCAAATAGTATTGTCGAGGGACGGCACGGCCTGGTGGCTTTAACATGGAAGTGATAAGGAGAGGGCGTTGAAAATCTAGGTCAGACGAGTAGAAAAAATTCTCACTCACAGAAGCAGCCGAACCGATCAGATGATAATGAACATTGCGACATAGTAATTTTGCCGTAGTAACTAGTGTTGTGGGTTAATGTTAGATTAAGTATTTAATATTAGTACAGACTGAGCAGAATTGTATATTTGGGTTAAGGTGGGTAAATGTTTGCATTTTTATTGGTAGTTAAAATTTGTGTGGTAAAATAGTGTGGGAATGTTTGCATTTTAAATATTGATACTTCGTGTTTACGGGTGTATATGAGGATAATCCCATAGAAAGGAATTATGCATTATTAATTTGAAAGAAATAGTAGTCGTGAAGGGGTTGCACCCGGAACCCAGTAAGGGAAAGTCGCGCCGCGATAACGAAGTAGATTTAGGAATTTCCGAATAGCGAACTGAGTAGTTAGAAACAGTCGGGAAACATTTAAAGTTACACGGACGATATGCACATAAACTACACCACAGTAGGACCCAAAACATCCCCTTTTGGAGCAGAGGACATCATCAAATCGACTGAGAAGAATATTCCGTAAGCATACGAACTTTTATCGAAGCCGTACGGTTTAGAAATGTTTGAAGTCCATAGTACCCTTCATTAATAATGAGCTCAAATTAGACCATAGAAGTTTTGTAATAAATGCTACTTGTTGTTTGAAAAGAAAAGGGCTGATATTTCATTGTATTGCCACGAATTCAGTAATTAGTAAATTCCACAGAATTCCCAGGAATCTGTAGTCATACATCCAAGTGCAGCAGATAAGGTGACGATT